CGCTGTGCAGGGTGGTCGGGATCACACGTCAAAAAAACCCCACCAGTTGCACCGCCGCCTTTTGGAGGAGAGCCGTCGTGGCCGGGGAGGTGCCCCCACCCCGCTCCACCCGGTGAGAGACCCCCCCACAGGGTTTTGCGGCACCCTTGGCGCGGCTTCAGCTCGCTGATGCGCAGCAAACACCAGCAAGGCTTAACTTTCCCCCGCTCGCCCACTGCTGAATCTTCCCTGGAGAAAAAAAAAATCCGTACGCGGCATCCTTTCTCTTAGGCGGGTACCCTTGGATATACAGGCACCCAGTGTTCCCTCTAAGCTGAGTTAGTGTAAGCTAGCTCACAGTTTTTCAGTCTCCAGCTCACACATTTTTCTCTTCGCTCAGGAAGGATGGCTCCAAAGCAAATCGCTCATTCACAACTTTAATGCCAGTAGCTCACAAAGTTAATTTTTTTGCTCACAAGACGCCACAGCTTAGAGGGAGCATCCCACCCCAGGTTCACCCCCAACACAGAGGCCAGAAAGGAGTCAGGAGTGACCAGGCTTCCAGATGGTGGGACTTTTTATTGCAGACTCAAGATAGGTTTGATACAGGAGAGGCAGCCCCCTTCCTCCCTGCCAGAACCCCATCCTCCCGGCAAGCAGACAGGATTAGTCCAACATGCCTCTTTCCCTAGAGCTAGCCAGTTTCTGCAGGAGTAGGGGTGTGTGTGTGGAGGGAAATGCTCCCACCCCCACATCTCCTCCTGCACAGGCCCCTATGCCCCAAACAGCTTTCACTTGTGACTCTTGGTGGTCTAGGAAGGAACCAGCCCCCCCACCTTCCACCAGCAGCAAAGCCCTCTGTAGGTCCCCCCCCTTCCCCGAAAGGCCTGCCCACTCCAGTACAGACTGAGCTGCAATTTCTCTGCTCCAGGACATTTCCAGCTGAGAGTGTAGCGGAAACTTCCATCTTAGAGTCCGGCAGAAACTTCTGTGGTCAAGCCATCCTGGTCAAGCCATCCTAGTCATCCCGGTGCCCCACAACTCCCCTTTGTGGGACAAAGTGCTGCTGCCCCCCCCCTCCCAGCCTCTGCATCCCCAACTCTCCCACCACGGCATGCACAAGAGTCAAGGAGGGGGGCTCAGTCTGTTTTGGTGGCCTCTTTCTCTGCCTTCTTTTTCTGCCTGGCCTCTCGCACGATCTTCGCCAGGGACAGCAGGATGGGAACGGCCATCGGGAGGGCGAGCGGGATGTAGATGGCGAACTTCTGGTCGTCGGGGAAATACAAGAGATGCAGGAGCGACGGGTCAAAAAAGGCCCGTTCGGAGGACATGATGGCCTCTTTGCTGGCCTGGAAGGCAGACTCCAGGTGGCCCATGCCCAAATCCTGCAGCGCCTTCTGGGCCGACTCCACAGCACGGAAGACCTGGGCAGGAGGCAAGAGGTGCAGGCCAGGTGAGAGAGAGGAGAGACAACTGCCAGAGAGCTTGAGGCAACAGAGGGAGAGAGAGAAGGCTCTCTCCCACTCTCATTTTATCTTTAGAAGAAGAAGAAGAGGAGATTGGATTTATACCCCATGGCCCTTCATTACCCAAAGGAGTCTCAGAGCGGCTGACAAATCTCCTTCCCCTCCCCACAACAGACACCCTGTGAGGTAGGTGGGGCTGAGAGAGCTCTTTCAAGAGAACAGCTCTGAAATAACTTGTGACTGACCCAAGGTCACACCAGCAGCTACATGTGGAGGAGTGGGGAATCAGACCCGATTTCCCCAGATTAGAGTCCACACACTTAACCACTACACCAAACTGGCTCTCTTTACTCTGTTCTGTGATGTCAGCTACACTGAGAGGGGATGGTGTCGAAAAGGCCTGAGCTGGACGGTTCAGGCTAGCCCAATCTCTTCAGATCTTGGAAACCAAGCAGGGTCAGCCCTGGTTAATATTTGGATGGGAGATCACCAAGGGTCCTGACAAAGAGGCAGGCCATGGCAAACCACAGCTGAACGTCTCTTGCCTTGAAAACCCTACAGAGTTCCTAGAAGTCGGCTGCGACTTTCTACCACCAGGGTGTCCGAAGGACAAACGGAAATACTACTTTACACAGAGAGTGATTAAAATGTGGAATTCACTGCCAGAGGATGTAGTGACGGCCACAGGCACAGACAGCTTTACAAGGGGGTTGGATAGATTCAGGGAGGAGGGGCCTATCAGCAGCTCCTAGCCAGGGTGACTGAGGGAACCTCCACGTTCAGAGGCACTAAACCTCTGAATCCCAGAGCCAGGAAGCAACATCAGGGGAAGGCCTCGGTCTCCATGCCATGTTGTTGGCTGACCAGAGGAACTGGTTGGCCCACAGTGTGAAACATAGAGAAGTGAAGGCCCGGAAAAAAACCGGGAAAATTCAGGGGAAAACCGTTTTTTTCCTGAAGCCTTGTTTTTTTCCGAAAAATTGAAAAAAGAAAAGAAAAAAATTGATTGTGGAACGTTTTATTTTAACATGATGAATAAAATATTTTAAGACAAGGTGTTCAAATATTTTCCAAATCATTTCTTATATATATATTTCTGTGCACTGAGGACAAGCAAGTCCTAGGTTACAAACTGAACTCTCCAATGCAAGAACAAGATGCATTTCTTTCTTTAGGAGGTGCTATTGTCAGAAGAAAATAAAAAGGTTTCAGTTTTGTTTTTGCATGTGGGTGGGTATTCTGTTTGTAATAATTGTTTGGATACACTGTATTTTTAATATGCTAGTTGTGATAAATTTCATGCCAAGTAAAAATGTCCATAGTCATATTTTATGTTCCTAAAGTAACAGAATGACTTTCAATCTAAAACAGACAAAAGAAATGCTAATGTAGCATTTTTTTCAATTTTTCTGAAAATTTCCGTTTTTCCTAAAAAAAAAAAACCTGGGAAAAAACCCGGGTTTTTTTCCGAGCTTCAAAACTTCTGGAAATTTTACATCTCTAGTGAGACAGTATACTGGACTAGATGGACCACTGGTCTGATCCAGCGGGGCTCTTCTTACGTTCTTAAAAGGTCGTCCAAGAAGGGCTTTTCCCTAGCAGGGGTGATGCTGCCATCAAAGAGGAGAAAACGTCAGTCTTGCAACTTTTACCACATGATGGGATGTGTGCAAGATCAAAAAGGGACACGGTGGGACAAGTCGAAGATCAGAACGGAAGGCAGGAAAGACCTCCAGCGGGAAGCAGATGGGCCACAGGCAGGGAAGCAACAGGAAAGGGAGAATGAACAAGGTGATATGGTGGCTGAGTGGGGGACCAGAGAACCAGGGGGAAGCAAGCAAGAGAGAATGAAGCCGAAAAAGCAGTGGAGAAGAGCACACCAGTGTGGAAGCAGCTCAGTAGGACCCCGGTGCCCTGCAAGAGGAGCCCAGCACATGCTTTCTTGCCCCTTACCTGCGATGCCACATCGTCCTGGATGACAATGTTGCTAATTTTCTCCAGCAGCTGGGCCAATGAAGTCAGGGTGGTGGCCACAGTGGCTACGTTCTCAACAGTGCGGGTCCACAGGAGGCGATCCAGCTCCCAGGCGGAGAGGCCTTCGTTCCCAAAGCTTTCCAGCAGGGCCCCCTCTGGAAGCGGCACCGGCAGGATCCCAAACAGCAACCTGAGGAGAGGGGACGGGCAAGCAAGAGGGCGGCTTGGCATCAGAGCCGTGAAACGCATGGCCTGCTGGAAGATGCCACCCAGCAGGTGTGGTGGGAGGGGTTGCTCCAGATCCTTTGGGCAGGATATGGGTGTCATCACTCGTGCAGGGCTGACCTGAATCAACGGAGGATTCTCTTTTGCTGGACTAAGGCCGAGTGTGCAGACTTTCGAGTTATGTGGAACTTTATTTATTTATTTAAAATGTACCTGCTGCCTCGCTGGAAACCCACTTGAGGTGGCTCATGAAGTAAAAACCACACAATTGTAAAATCTGGAAGAAACGGGTTTGATTCCCCACTCCTCCACTTGCAGCTGCTGGATGACCTTGGGCAAGCCATAGTTCTGTCAGAGGTGTTCTCTCAAGAGCAGTTCTCAAAAGAGCTGTCTCAGCCTCACCTACCTCACAGGGTGTCTGCTGTGGGGAGGGGAAGGGAAAGGAGATTGTAAGCTGCTCTGAGACTTCGAGTGAAGGGCAGGGTATAAATCCAATCTCTTTTTCTTATTCTAAAATTACCAATAGTAAAACCAGCCAAAGGCCCACCGGGGGGGGGGGGCGTAGAAGATGCCTAAAGACCACCTTCAGCAACCAGCCTAAAATAGAATTCAGCAAGCAGCCCTCAGGCTAGAAGCTGGCCATAAAAACAACCACTAAAAAGGACAGAGAAAACCTTTAGTAGAATGCTTGGGGAAGAGAAAATATTTTGGCCTAATGCCTAAAAGGGAAGGAAAGTTGATGCCAGGCTCTAAACCACTGGTTCCCAATACTGCCTCCTCAGGGGCACTGGAACGATCCAGGTGCAGATCCACAAACTGCATCTTTTTGTCTACTTCTTGAAGGTAGATGTCCAGGGGGGTGCTGAGTAATCTTTTTTCTGAAAAGGGGGCAGTAGGCCAAATAAGTTTGGGAACCTCTGCTCTAAACTCAAGGTGGCACTACTGAAAAAGTTATGTCTTTGGCTGCCACCCATCTCACCTCTACAGGTTGCGGGGGGGGGGGGGGGGGGGCAAGGCCTGGGAAGAGGATCTTAACCGGCAGGCTGGATGGTACTCCAGGGACCTGCTGCTATCAGGAGAACCCTGCTGGTTCAGATCTATCTAGAGTTGCCAGCCTCCAGGTGGGGCCTGGGGATCTCCCGCTTTTACAACTGATTTCCAGCTGACAGAGATCAGCTCCTCTGGAGAAAATGGCTGCTTTGAAAGGCGGGCTCTGTGGCATCGTACTATGCTGAGGCCCCTCCCCAAACGCCACCCTCTCCTGGCTCCACCCCCAAAGTCTCCATGTATTTTCCAACCCAGACCTGGCAACCCTAGACCTATGGCCCATTTTATCCAGCATCCTGTTTTCCTCTGTTGGTCAATTAGATGCCTTTAGGAGGCCTGTAAGCAGAGATGGGAAGGCCCTAGAAAGATTCAGGGGAAAACCACCCCCTCCCCACCCCAAAGCCCCTACCCCTTTTTTCCAAAGGGAAAAATGGGAACAATCTGTGAAACACTGGAAAAAACTCTTTATGAATGCTTTCTCCTTTGTAATGAATTAAATGCTTTTTAAGACTCGGTTTTACTCATTCAAAATGTGTATCATGAATATTTTAAGCATAAACATATCACGAATATTTTAAGCATAAACATATCTTTGAAGATATGTGTAAATAATTGTGGCAACAATTAATATGCCATAATGCATTTAATAATACTACATTTCAATAGTTTCAGTTCAATGAAATTTAAATTAATATCTAAATACGCTGCTAGTTGTTTTGTGAATACACAAGAGCATTGCTGTCCAAATGTTTTCCTTATGAGAAAATTTGTGGTTTGTATTTTCAAATGCTTCCCCCCCCCTACTTCTCAGGTGCCAAAAACTAAGATATATGTGCTTAGGTAGTTTAGGGTGCAGCAGTCTGCCACTTCCTGATGCGTTGAATATATTTGCAAAATCTGCTTGTTGAAATCTAAGGCACTTAAATTCAAGAAATATGCTAATTACCCTTTTATATGCTAACTAAGTTATAAAAAGTGCATTTTATGTTGTTAAAGCAGTAAAATATGTTTAGGTTTGACAGGAATGTAAGTACTATACATTTCTATTTCCCCCCAAATTTCTGCTTTTTTTCCCCGGGGGGGGAAACAGGAAAAAATCCTCCCCCCCTATGGCTTTAAAATTTCTAGAAGCTCTATCCGTAAACAGGAATATACAAAGCCTCCTCCTCCTGTTGATCTCCAGTAACTAGAATTTGAAGGTATACTGTCTCTGAACATGGAAGGTTCAATTTCGTCATTATGGTTAACAGCTTTTGATGGACCACTTGTCATGTATATGTTTGTCTAAGCATCTCTTGAAGTCATCTCTCCTTGCAGCCATCACTATATCCTGTGGTAGTGTGTTCCCCAAGTTAACTATATACGTGTGAAGAAGTACTTTCAAGCAGTGTTCCCTCTAAGCTGAGATAGTGTGAGCTAGCTCACAGGTTTTTAGCCTCCGGCTCACACATTTTTGTAGTCGCTCAGGAAGGATGGCTCCAGAGCAAATTAATTTATGCAGTAGCCAACTGCTCACTCATAACTCTAATGCCAGTAGCTCACAAAGTAGAATTTTTGCTCACAAGACTCCACAGCTTAGAGGGAGTATTGCTTTCAAGATAGAAGGAACCCACTTTTCATAACAGTCAATTGGCAAAGAGCAATTGTCATAGAAAGCACTGAGGAGGCTATTTTACGACTGGCCTCTGTAACCAGAGCCTAAAGATATATATTTTGGGCCAGGAATTTATTTATTTAGAACATTTCTATGCGGAACCTTCAGAGAACCTGAAACACCAGAATACTTCTCCTCTACCTCATAGAAAAGAAGATGCTTCCTAGCAGGCCTGTAGCCAGGATTTTGCCGCTTGTGGGGCAAAAAGATTCTGGTGGGGCTGCCATTATTTTTCTGTCTGTCTCTAAATAAGTGTACTTTTAAGTATTAATAAAGACAATAATACTAATAATAAATTAAATTAAATGCAGCACAAACACCCCCCCCACAACAACCACCCCAGACATAAATGAAATGCAAAAACACCCTCCCCTGCCTAAAGCAATGAAATCCCTGACCATTTTCAGAAGGAAATCTTGTGGGGCTGGCCCTTTTAAGGAGGGGGGTGGGGTTCCCCAACAGCCCCACTGTAGCTACAGGCCAGTTTCCTAGCCACCAACCTCCAGCAAGCAGCATCAGCCACAGTAAACAGGAAGCAGCCACAAAGCACTTACCGTAGCTGGGCCAGAAAGACCTCCATCACCCGGCCCATGTCCACGTCCACCCGCCTTGGGAAGGAAGTCTCATTGGCTGCCTCTGGCTCGATGCTGTATACCCGGCACAGAGGCAACGTGAGGCAACCCCTCAGGCCCAAGTGGTCATGTTCACAGGCCGAGGCACTGCTGAGAGGAGCTGCTGCTCCCAAGGAAATGTGGGATGTGCCAAGTCCTGAGGGCAGCTGGAAGAAGTTCTCTGTCTTGGCTGCTCTACCAGAAAGAGTGGTGAGAGTTTTAAACGACCTGGGACATCCTCCGTCTATCACAACGATCCCCACCACTCTCAACAGGCAAGAGCAAAGGCAAAGATGCTCGATACTTCTGGTGCAAAGCAGACCACCACTACAACGCACAAGATCTGCAGAGCAGACCCAGGCAGCAGCTGTCTGTCCTTTCATGGGACTGACAACCAGTGTTCCCTCTAAGCTGAGTTAGTGTGAGCTAGCTCACAGTTTTTTAGCCTCCGGCTCACACATTTTTGTCTTAGCTCAGGGAGGACGGCTCCGGAGCAAACTAATTGATGCAGCAGCCAAATCGGTCACTCACAGCTTTAATACCAGTAGCTCACCAAGTAGAATTTTTGCTCACAGGACTCCACAGCTTAGAGGGAACATTGCTGACAACTCTCTTGTTCTAGTGGGGCTTCTGGACAGGTAGCAGTCAGTCATGTGGCAGGCAAAGGCATCCTGGGAGAGGACCTTCTCGAACTCATTGGTTATGGAGGTCTGGATCTGACATAAATTGGACTTTGTCGGGCCGGGCCATGTGTGTCATAAAATGTAATGGCAGGGAGCGGAGATATAAACTTTTTAAAGGACACAAACACAAAGGTGTTTTTTTTAACTTATGCTTGCAACATTAGCATTCTTGCACTATTTTGTTTATTTAACGGTCTGTGATAAGTGACACTTCTTGCTCTGAATTACTGCATCAAAACGTCTGTGCTGCAGCAATCTGGGGGGGGGGGAGACTCAGCCCGGTGCAGGGAGCAGAAGCTTGCCTATCTATCTCTCCTGAACGATTGAGAGAGTCTGGGAAAACAAGCTATGACGCAGCAGCAGCAGCAGAACTGAAGAAGCAGGAGACAGCCAGTCCCAGGCCGCATGTTTGACACCCCTGCTCTACAGCTCTCTCCCCAGGGAGATCCGTCTGTTTTCCTTCTGTTGCCATCTTCCATCAGTGGGTGAAGAGTTTTCTGTTTGGCATTCTCTCAGTGGTCCCTCCCCCAAAACAATGTTTTTGTTTTGTATGTGTTTAAACTCTGTTTCCTAACTCTTTAAAACATTGTTTTAATGATGTATTTTGGGGGAGGGCGGTGATTTTAGTGGTTTTAAACTGTAACTGTACCTTCTAGTGGCAAAAAGGGGGGGATATAAGTTTTGTAAGTAGTAGTAGTAGTAGTAGTAGTAGTAGTGATAGTGGTAGTAGTGGTAGTGGTAGTAACTTTTTGGATGCATTGGCTTGCTGGTGCAGTCCCTGTTTTTGCTGGTTTAAGGAGTTCTTGGTGGCAAAAACCTTGTGGAACACGAACCCTTCTTGCGGGGGGGGGGGAGCTCCTCCTCCCCAGAAGCTACTCTCCAATGGATTATTCTTTGCCTCCGGGAGAGCATACGATGCCAGCTAGTTATGCCCATGTAAACTCTGATGCAGCAAAAAGGCCCCTGATCGGTGCATGGGAGGAGCCCCCAGTAACCCCAGCCCTCCTTACCATAATCCCACCCCAGCGTGGGCTGTGGAAAGCGTTGGTGGGAACAGCAGCACCATCCTTGTCCTGGATGTAGAGAGGTGAGTGCGAACGCTCCGGGATATACAGCAGGAAATTGAGCACGGGGTAGAGCGAGGCAGCACTGGAACCTTGCATAGCGGAGGAGGAGGAAGAAGAGGAGGATGAAGAGGAGGAGATTGGATTGATACCCCACCCTTCACTACCCAAAGGAGTCTCAGAGCGGCTTACAAACTCCTTTCCCTCCCCCTCCCCACAACAGACACCCTGTGAGGTAGGTGGGGCTGAGAGAGAAGAAGAGATTGGATTGATACCCCACCCTTCACTACCCAAAGGAGTCTCAGAGCGGCTTACAATCTCGTTTCCCTTCCCCTTCCCACAACAGACACTGTGAGGTAGGCGGGGCTCAGACAGCCCGGTAAGTGGCCACGAGGGACCCAAGCTAGTCCAAAAACAGATCGGATCCGTGAGAGGAAGGAAACAGCCTCCTGGCTGCCTCAACAAAGCCAAATGCGAGCGTGGCAGAGGTCCCAGACTAACCCGTGGAGGTTTTCTCTGACCATGACTATGGGTCATCAATGGGTTGTCTAGGAAAGAACCAGCGCAGAGGCAGAGCACATGTTGAAAGGCCCAGCCTCAGTGCCTGGCATCTCCAAGGAAACAGATCAAGACGGGTAGCTGTGTTAGTCTGTCCAGAAAGTGGAAGACACTGAACGTCAGACTGACATTTCATAAACATCTAATTTTATTGTTGCTTCTCATAAATGTTTCCTTCTCATTCCGGCCTCCTATCTTTATAACCTTGAAAATGTTAATCAAAGAAGAGCTTTCACCCTTGCTAGATTTTCAGCTTTGCCATCCTCAGTTATTGAGGGCAGATATAACAAAATTGCCCGGACTGAGAGATTTTGCCCTTGTAACAATGGTGAGATAGTCAATGGCACATGTCTTTCTTCGTTGTTCTTTCTACCCTGAAATTCATACTGCCTTTATCTCCCCGTTACTTGAGTTCTGTCCTGACACCTCCAACTCTGGGATCATTAACATACTTCTCTCTGGTGTGAGTATAGAGATCACCCGGAAAGTTGCTAAATTCTGCTCCCAAGCGATTAAACTGCGTTCTATATATATTTCCCAACTTAATGTGGAAGATAGTAGCGGATTGTATTTTTATGTAGTTAGGTTAGAAATTGCTGTATTTGTATTAGTATTAGTTTTAAGTACTTTTATACACTTTTATATTTGTATACCTTCATTTTTATATTTTATCAGGCTATCGTCATTCTTATTTCTTACTTATTTGTATACTGGTCATGGACTGTAAATAAAGTAAAGTAAAGTAAGTGTTAGTCTGTCTGTAGCAGCAGAAAAGAGCGAGAGTCCAGTAGCACCTTGAGGTAAAGGTAAAGGTTCCCTTGCTTGAAAGCCAGTCGAATCCGACTCTAGGGTCACGGTGCTCATTTATGTTTCAAAGCTGAAGAGCCAGCGCTGTCCAAAGACGTTTCCGTGGTCATGTGGCCGGCATAACTAAACACCAAGGCGCACGGAACGCTGTTACCTTCCCACCGAAGTGGTACCTATTTATCGACTTGCAATTTCTTGCTTTTGAACTGCTAGGTTGGCAGGAGCTGGAACTAGAGATGGGAGTTCACTCCATCATGCGGCACACTCGGGTCTCGAACTGCTGAACTACTGACCTTCCACAGCCTGCAGTTCAGCGTCTTAACCACTTGAGCCACTGCAGCTCCTATTACTGCTCTATGAAAAAAAAAAAAAAAAAAAAAAAGCAGAGGTCCTGCTCAGAAAGAGACGAGAGGGGCTTACCCAGCCTGGCTTCCACGGGGTTAATGACATGGGGCAGGCTGTGAGCACTGAGTATGAAGCTGGAGGAAGGCGCATCAAAGCGGGGCACGACCCCCAGTGCTGCATAGTAGAGGATCTGGAGAAAGGAAAGAAGCACATGTTGTAGATGATGACGTTCCCTGCTGCCCTCTTACCTGGGACCCCACAGCCTCCTATACCTCGGACTCACCTGTGAGTCCACGGAGATCTCTGCCACCACTCTCAGCTTGCCCAGGAGGGGCTCCACGTAGCGACGGACAG